TTAGCTCTGAAAGCTAATTTTTTTTGCGTGTGGGTCTTTTTTGGCCCAGAGCAGTTTCAAAATTCACACAGTTTTTGTAATATTCTAAATACAAATGTGATACTTCACGATTTTTCAAGTTATTTTTCAAAAAAGTAAGTACATATTGTACTAAATGTACTAACTTTATATAATGCTAAAATAAAAGATATAAAAAAATACATATATGTCAATTAAATAGTGAGTTCTCACCATTGAGTCTATTTAGACCCTGAACATGGTCAAAGTATACCTGAAACGAATACGGTTAGAAGGTTAAAGACCCCATGCGACGACTTTGGGTTAAATGATTAATCAATTTCGCGCAGAGACGCGCGTATATCTCGCGCTGTGTGTCGTTCCGATTGCCACAGCATGCGTATGGGCGTAATATAATTCGTTATCAGGGTCGAGCTGTTATCAGCGTGACAGAAACTGCGTATCGATCCGGCTCAGCGCAGACGTGTTCCGGACAGAATCACGTCCGCGCTTTTCGCGCTGTTTTCCCGTGTTTGTCTCTCTCCTTTCTTACTTCCTCCCTTTTCTCTCTTGCCTCTCCTCCTTCTTCTCACCTTACACCCTCAACGGGAATTTCGCGCCATCTTATTGACATCGTGCGCGCGCGTTTGTCATCAAAGCGGGCGTCGGTTCTTCTGGAATTAGGCCATGGTTTCCGAGCTCGCGGAGAGCTCGCCGACTTAACTTTCCATTCAACGACGGTACGAGGTGGTGACGGTGGCGGTGGCGGCGGCCGCGGGTCTCCCTGCAGAGTACGTGAGTCGATCTTTAAGCGATCCCTTCGTCGTGCCGGTCGAGACCGTTTTTCCGTAGCGGGGAGGAACGCCGAGCGTCGTCACACGAACGGCGAAACGTGCCTCCATCTCGACACGACCACGTCGTGAAATCACCGTACGCTCGCTGGGAGCTTCATTATCGTCTCCTTCATCGTCTTCTCCCCTGGCATTCTCCTGCCCGCGAGTCAGGTCGCCGCAGAAAAATGTCCGGCGATCGACGTGGCGGTCAGCGCCACGATAAGGACTCCCGAGAAATTGCTCCTATCGCTACCTCCATCGGCGATGCTGAGATATCCCACGGCTCTCGCGAGATAGCGCGTTTGATTAGAGAAAATACAAACAAGCGAGCGAGAAGCGGCTCGCGTTGTACTCGAGCGATCTGAATGGCGAGAGAAAGCCGCTTACTTTTGTACCGTGACGCGTTCGACACACCTGGGACCGCGCATTAACATTAAAACTCTAATTTATCCAAGGCGAACTCGCCGGCACGATTTAACACCGTTATTCGACATCCCGGAGAAAACCTAGCTCGAGTGGCTATTCATGAGACGCGCGCGCGCGTACGATAAAGACCGACGTTTACTTCATTGGTAAATAAGTATACATTGCGCGTGTCGTCCCGTATTCCTTGTCACTCGCGAGATAACGCCCGCGATTACAGTGTCAAGATGCCGAGGTGAGAATGATGAATATGAGCGAAAGCGTACGTACGTGTTTGGCCAATTGCGACGCACTGGGCGAAAAGATATCTAAGAAATAGTAAACATTTACTCGGTGGGTGTAGACTAACGGCGTATTCAGCTTATACCAACACAAAATATCTCTTACAAGTAAGGAAATGTATATTGTTCTTAAAGTAAAACTTTAGGAAAACTATGGGTTTTCGCATTATTTCTATTGAAATAAAAGAATTTAAAAAGATTTATTTAAAAGATTTTTTTTAGATTTAAAAAGCAAATATATAATATTATATACAGTATTCACCAAATAAATATTTACTAATTTTTGGAGGTATTAAAATAAAAATGCCAATTCCCAGACACGTGCCTGGACACTCTTATTATCTTTACGAATATTCAGTTTTTAACATATACTGTGAAAACTGATGTGTTAAATTTAACATTTCATGTGTTCCAAATCATCCACTTTCATTTACATTAATACAAAACAAATGTGGTAAAAAATAACACGCATAATATCTAAAAAATTAACACAAGAATTTAACACTTGAATACTGTCAGGAATCACAGTTTGTGTTAAATTGACATATGTATAATGTTAAATTAACTAAAATAAAACGTTACTTTAACATTTTAGAAGAAGTATTAATCTATGGTTTTGATAAAATGAAAATGTTGAATTAATGTTGAATAAATGTTGAATTGACATTATCTATGTCTGACATATTAAATATATTAATTTAATACAACCTGCGATTCCTAAATAATAGGTATTCAAGTGTTAAATTCTTGCGTTAATTTTTTCCATATTACTCCTTATTTTTACCATGTTACTCTTTAACACATTTGTTTTGTGTTAAATTTAACACATCAGTTTTTACAGTGTAGAATATACAGAGTGTCCAAAAAGTACCGGAACGGCAAGAAAACTCGACGGGGGAGCATTTTAGAGAAAAATGTTTCGAATAAAAGTTGTAAGGCTTAAAAAAACGCATTCAACGATAGTAGTTATTTGACATCAGATGGCGTCGCCAAGGTCAGAACAAGGTCAAGTTTGCTTTTTTAAATAGAAATACATATTTTCTATTACGGCATTTTATTCTACGTGAAAAAGCAAAAGTTGTTTGCGTTTTTACGTTGAATAAAATCCCGTAATAAAAAATATGTGTTTCTATTTAAAAAAGCAAACTTGACCTTGTTCTGACCTTGGCGACGCCATCTGATGTCAAATAACTACTATCGTTGAATGCGTTTTTTTAAGCCTTACAACTTTTGTCTGAAACATTTTTCTCTAAAATGCTCCCCCGCCGAGTTATCTTGCCGTTCCGGTACTTTTGCTATATCCTGTATATTCAATACATGTATATATATACAAGGTGTCCCATAACTGGTAGAACACCCGTTAAGGGCAGGTAGGGGATGAAATTTGGAACTGAAAGTTTCTCTTCCATTTTTGAATTCGACAATTAGTGAATGAGATATTAATTAATTAAGTCTGCCAATCCCTTAACGTATGAGCGCTCAGGGCAGGCCGTAGGGACTTCTTAGAGGCCCTGCTTGTCCTTTTTGTATCACAGAGAAATAAATATGGATGAGGGAGTGAGTGGGTGCCTGACCGGGGCTAGGGGGTGGCAAATTTTTAATGTGTGGGAGTGATGCATGGATGTTTTTGTGTGCGGTTATGAGTACATGGATAATTTGAATGTTTTTAATGCGAGTGGGCGGAGTGATTGCCACTTTATATGCCGGAGGGGGAGGGCATGTGTGGTATGTTTCCTTCGAGTGCGTGGGTGACTTGAATGTTTTCTGCATGTCGATGGTTGAGTATCGTGAATGATTTTAGTATGTGTGTACAAAAAGGGGAGAAAACGGACAAGTAGAGCCCTTGAGGAGCCCTCGGCGTCCTATGTCCTTGAGCGCTCACTCAGGGCGCTAAGGGATTGGCAGACTTAATTAATTAACTAACAGTGAGATTTGAAACGGCACATAAGGAGCAAGCACGGATGTCTTAGTGCTATTAAATATTAATATTACTTTTTAATATTAATATGATTGTGAGAGGATAAAATTGTCCAATATGTTATCGTATCGAAATTTTTTCTTCGATTATCGTACACGGAGAATCAACCTTCCATACTTAGACCGATCCTTGAATCCCAATTTTTATATATATATTTTTTTATTAATTCGGTTTAATTAATTAATATCTCGTTAGCTAATTGTCGGATCCAAAAATGGAAAAGGAACTTTCAGTTCCAAATTTCACGTCCTATCTACCCCTAACGGGTGTTCTACCAGTTGTGGGACACCCTGTATATTTATTTTTTATTAAAAGTTATATTTTATTTTTTATTAAAAGTTCAAATATATATTAGTGTTCGTACGAGGATCAGAGTACTTTAAATTTCAATCTCAATTCTCCTTTTCTTCCGTTCCTTTAATCCCAATTAATTTTCGATTATCCTCTCGAGTTTTTATCGAAGCGGCGGCGACACGGACTTTTCGCCGCCACAACAAGTTCCCTTCGTTTCGAGATCGAAGTATCGCGATTTCGCGGCGCGAAGACACGTAAAAATACCCGACTTGCGCGACTGGTCGCGCCGAGAGCGTCTCTCCCTCCGGCGGGGAACAATTAAAAAGTTCGCGCGCAATCCCGAGACGACAGACGCGCGAAGGCACCGCAGAGGACGTAGTGCCGTCAGACCAGAAATCCGGGATACGGAATTAGCTCGCGCGACGGCGCGCCGTGAAAACCAGGGTTTCAGGGTGTTTATACCTTTCTGCGGCTTAAAGCGCGACGAATGTCAAAAGTGCGGCGCTCGTTGCGGATTTGCGAGTAGCGCGACTTGCGTAAAAGCGCCAATTAGCGGGAGAAGGGGCCCGCGCGATATGCGTATTCCAATTCCAGCGGTGCGATATGGTCGGATCGGCAACAATCCCTGAATAATTCAGCGAGAAATCAGTTATGAGCAGCCGTCGCAACAAGTTAAGCGAGCTAATTGCGAATACCAGCCGGTCAACAGTCCCGCAGAAGAAGAAGGGCTTATAGAAAGCATCTCGAGGTGCGCGAGATGAGATCTTCATGGCGGGAGGGGGGGGGGGGGGGGCTAATTAAACTCTCTCGTGGCCGACACGACGCGCGGCCGTTGCAAAGGAAAACGATTTCGCGCAGACCAGACGCTGAGCCGCAATTAAATGCGCTAATTGCCGCGTCGCGCCCGCCCGAGACTGACTGTGCTGACTGAGAAAAATCTCCCGGTTATCAGGAACACAAAGGCACGTTTGCCTTTCGACGATCGTCGGGGAAACAGGTCGAACGCGTAAATCTTAACCACACCTTGATTATTTCAAATTCACGCACCTTGATCCGTCCACCCACTCGCACATCATCTAACCAAGTGCAGAAGTAGATTCAGTAGAATAGAATCATTACGGTCTGTTTTGCTAATGAACATAATAAATTTTGCTAGGAACATAATAAATTTGGCAAAGTTAATGACGTATTTCAGATGCCAAAATGTAAATAGCATAAAGAAGTGATTTGCAAGTCTTGCAAATCATTTCTTATCATATTTTTGTCACTTTAACCCAGAAGCCCAAACATGGGCAAGATTGATCCAGACCAAACATTACTGTTCTTAAAAGCATGAGTTTTATTTACTGACTACTGAACCTTCTCTCAACTCCATTAAATCGCGAGAACATCGATAGGTCCGTACTCCTCGAAGTTTTCTGCGCCAAATGAAGAACAGAGGATTGGATTTCGACCATTCTCCCGGAATTTATGAGCAAATGAAATACGCTGGGTAACATTTATCCATGTTTAGGGTCTACGTAACGTCTCTGGATGTTTAGAGGTTCCAGCGTTAACAGACACGTCGCCTGGGATGCGTCATATTTGTCATCTCGTCTATTTGACTTGGGTTAGTCACGTCTTCGCTTAGAGTAGCGAATTGAGAGTAACAAATCATTTGTTCTCACTAAGGAGGGTCATTAGCTGTCCCATATGAACGAACCATTTGTCACGAATACTGGTATTTTGTCGAATTAGCAGAGAACTTCTTCTGTCAGTGGGTCGAATAGAAATTTTGTCGAGGGGG